ACTGATCCAGCTATTAGCTTAAGCAATGATTAGAAAATTTAGTACCTTTGAAATTTGAAATCCATAACCACAAAATTAATTTTTTCATCAGTTTTTTTCTCTGTTTACTCAGATGAAATTGGGACCAGTTCACAGGTTAAACTTTAGACATTTAATTTGTGTAAATAAATCCAAAAGCACTTTCCTTAGTTAAGATATTTACAATTTGAAAACATAACCTAAAATTTAAAAGAAATTCACTAGATTCTGTCATAAAAGCTGGCAGATTTTGTTTGAATTTACCTTCAGTACAAAAATGAAATAACCAACAATTAATAAAAACGCCAAATTGACAATTTGCATTGTTAATTTTTGTAATTAAGCTAAATTTAAACAATGTTTGTCAACTTTTTTGAGAGATTTTGGAAAAACTGTTGTTACCAACCATAACATAATAAATCCACCAGATTAACCTAAAGTTCCTAGTCGATCAGTGGCGTACTTTTTGGTAGGATAAAGGTCATTATAAATTATTTTTAGACTTTGGAATTTAGAAAAAAAAAGTTTCAGGTGCTTATTTATGGACCCTAAGGAACATTAATTACATAACACCCTGTATCATTGATTAAGAAACTTAAATGCTTATATAGTAACACTGTGTATTTTATCTAAAGGATCATGGTGAATTATTGTGTTTTTAATTGTAAATAAAATTCAAGAACTAAATCGTTGCATTTTTATGTTTTGCCAAAGGATCCAATTCAGTAAGTACATTTGTTGGTGCAGAATTAACTAATGATAACTTTACCTAATATAATTTATATTTAAGTTTGGACATTTTTAAGAAATGTAGTAAAAAAAATAATTTTTGCACAAACATAACCTTAAAATCAACAATTTTTATATTTGAGTTTTGCATTTTAAACAACAAAATATACCTACAAATTCATGGCAACATAATATTATGTATAATACAAAATATAATGGTATTTTGCCGTTGAGTGGAGACTTTAAAGAATTCATACTCATACATACCCCATGGGAAAAAATCGTTTAAAAAAAAGACGATCGTCTGAAGAAGATCGTCTATTTTTAAACGATATCGCTTAATTCTTTAAACGATCTTTTGTAAAAAAGACGATCGTCTGAAGAAGATCGTCTACTTTCAAACGAAATCGTTTAATTATTTAAACGATCATCTTTAATCGTCTAAAATAATAGCCGACCCTAAAGACGATCGTTTAAATTGATAAACGATACAAAAGGCGATCGTCTAAAATAATAGTCGAAAAAAGACGATCGTTTTAATTAAAATTTTAAGTTATAACTTAACCAATGAGAAAATATTTTTATTTTGTCATATTATTAATTAAATTAATTAAAAAAATAATTCTAAAGGCGAAACCTACCTACTTCGAATAATAGACAATTCCAAATATTCCAAAGTATATTTGAAATTCTTTATTATAATAGAGAAGAATTTTAAATATATATTTCGTTTGTACAGCCGACCGCCTAACCTACGCAATCGATTGAATCGTTTGAAAGTCGATCGTTTGAAAGACGATTGGACGAATTCGCGTCTAAAAACGATCGTCTTTAGACGATTTTTCCCCATGGGACGCACTTTTAATAATGCTAAATGCATACACTTTTCACGTTAATCATTACTAAAATGGGTATTTATTGAATCTAATAGATACAATTTATATTTACAGGGACTGTATGAAATTTATTTCTTCATTCGGATTAACACTGTTTATTGGAAAACAGATAAAAACTCAACCCAGGATTTCCTCTCGAAATACACCCAAGAACACAACAAATCGTGCCACGGTTTTTTTTTCGATATTTTTTAACATTTTCCGGCTTTATTCTCAAAAACACTCGTTTGTAACACACGCGTTTGACAGCTGATTATTATTATTTGTTACGATGATAACAGCCGAGTGGTGGCGCTACTAGCGATACTTCTTTAGCGTATACGCTATATATAAGGATTTTGTAACATACTCATCATTTGCTAGATTTATGTTTTGTTTCTTTAGCAACCCTAAGTATGGGTTTGTGTTAAACTTAACTTAAATCAATGGATTACTAAATATTTAATTTTAACGGTTTTATTTAAAAAATGCAATGTTGTCAGATTTCGCAAATTTGAAGGATAAAAGAGGGATCCAATAAATTTGATCCACTCCGTATTTATTTAGCGCTTTATAGACCAGACAGAATTTTACTTGTGTGTTTCCTGCCGGCCTGCGTTTCCTGCATGAAAAATTCTGGTCGCGAAACAATTGCCTGCAGCCAGTGTTCGTAATTAGTTTTATTATTTTATAAATGCTTGTAAGTTTTTGTATTTAAATTGTAAATTCACAACATCGAAATGCTTTTTTGAAAAAACCGGATGTACTTAGTACATAATTTCCTGTCCATCGAGGTGCAATGCATTGAAAAGGAAACTGTTTTTATGCGTGCAGTACTTCCTTAAGAAAAAAGTTTATGTTTACAAAAACATAAAAATGTATTGGTCACGAAACAAATATAAAAAATATCAGTGGAGATAAATTTTGCACCTACCCAAATCGAAATCGTGTTAAATAAACATTACTTTTACACTCCCAAATAAGATTTATTTCGGCTATTAGGATGTTTGAGATATTTTTTTAATGACCACACATTTTTATTTAAAATTAACGTGACAAGCCTTAATTTCACGCAGTTGTGTTGACAATCTAATAATTAAGGCAATTGTTCTTTATCACAATTAAGAGCGGCTTTTTAAGTAATTAAAGTGTGTAATAGGTACTTTTTATTTCAACATTTTTTACTAACAGGATGCCCAGAAACATTCCTTTTATACAGAAACATTATATTTCAAAGTCTATTCATATAACAGACCGATTAAGGTGGACAGCGCGGTCCTGACACGGCCATGTTTAATGTTTAAGTTCAGTTTTCGAAAATCACATACATAGTCTGTAAAATGAATAGACTTTGGGGACGATTTTTTTTAACAGTAATTTTGTTACAACATTTTCCACTAATCAAAAATGTCACGGTTCTCAAAACAACGGTATTCTTCGGCACAAAACTAATGCATAAAACATTTTGCTTTAATTTTAAAAGAAAATTATCAGACACTTGTGTGGGAATCTCTGGCGACCGCGATTGAATATTAAAAACGCATATCTAAGGTAAATGGGAATGTGAAAAGCACCGACACTGACATGTTACCGATCAGTTGAAAATTTGAATAATACATTAAGCGTTTACAGGTGGCCGTTTTATTTTCTATAGCATTTACCTTAGATAAGAACAACGAGGCACCCAAGAATTTCATAGTTAGGTATAATATATTTATTTAGAAAATTTACCACATGTTTTACTATTTTATTGTTTTGACCTTTACTTGGTGAAACTTCATGTCACTAGATAAAAAACAAAAACTTTGTTGAGTTTTAGGAATTTATTTTAATTTAATTTGACAATTGTTTCGCTAACACAGTAGCTTCTTCAGAAATGATTCCAAACTTTATCTAATAACAAACTAATATAACACAATTATTGCAGGTAACAGTTTTTTTTTATAAATATTAGTACAGTATAATAATTTTACCAGGAAGTACGGACAGCTGTAATTTTGTTTTTTTATAAAGAAGAACAAAATAATCAAATGAACTTTTTAGATCTTACCATTCAAAAAAGAATAGCACTCACATTTAAAATTTATCATAAACCTAGTTACACAGACCATAACAATACATAATAGTTCCTTGCATCCTAAAAAACCTTGTTTATTCACAAACATAAAATTTAAAAAAATCTTCTTTATGATTGTTTTTGTGATGTTGGCATTTCTGATAATAGGTTATGGCGCTCGTGGTTTTCTAGAGAAAAAAGTCTATCATAGATACTAGAACTATTGGATTTTTCTTTAGACCAGAGTTTTCTTTTGCTTTTATTTTTTTACTTAAAAGTTATTTGCAGTCAAGAGCGCAAAAGTAAGACAATTTTGACAAGAGTGTTTAAAGGAAGAATGGGCACAAGGTAAATATTTTAGTTCTTAAAAATAAATATTTTTTATGTTTATTTATAGTTTTTAAAAATGAACACTAATAAAGTTTTTGAACCAGGTATATATGGTAAAAAAACTTTAGTAGGTATACCTACTTGTTTTTTAATTTAAATACATAGCCAATGTAATGTTGGCGAAACTATGGCGATTTTTAATTTATCAAAGTTGGCGGTATTATGTCGCTTTTTGTGCAAATTTTGGCGATGTTTTCATTTTAAAACCTGGCAACACTGCTGTTGTTACATTATACTTTGACGGGTAAAATTGTCATTCTGTACTAATTTTTTTTTAAACTCATTACCTGCAATAATTGTGTTATATAAGTTTGTTTTTAGATAAAGTTTAAAATAATTTCTGTTAGCGAAACAATTGTCAAATTAAATTAATATAAATTCGTGTTTGTTTTTTATCTAGTTATACATACATATTATTACATTTATTTGGATGTTTTTTGACCTGGCAATTTTTTTAACGAAAAATATCAAAAATAAATGTAATACCTACATTTATTATAAAAACAATTACAAGCAAAAATGTGTTATTTCCCATTCAATTTAGCAAAACACCCTTAAGGGTCATTAATTTTACTACCATTTCACAGAAGTATGTTCCAATTTGAGGGGTTCAAAGGACTTCTTAAAGAGTTTTATGACAGCTTTATCCCCCATCATAAAATGGTATCGCACCTTCTATTTTTAAAATGCCATTGTTCTCTGCGATACAAGAAATTAACAATCAATTTAACAAAACAATCGTCATTAAAACCGTTCGTATGAAATGTATGGGGCCTTTTTGTTACTTCGGAGTTAAATTAAATCAATAAATAAAAATCCATCGATTTTGGTGACTTGAAAATTCGCTGTAAATTTCTCACAGTGTTTTTATTTATTTTTTAACTTAACCCAGATTCTGTTCCCGCAAATAAATTATCTTGTAGTTCACTTACCGGTGACGACTAGTTTTCCCTTGGTGGCACTTAATCTTGTTTCCCCTGTCAATCTGTGTTTGGTACGGCACTGGTATAATTTATATCCATCTTCGGCCCCCACGTCCCTGATATGCAACTCGCCAGAGGGTAGCACCAAATATTTGCTGTCTGTTATTGGGGAATAAAAAAAATGTTAGTCGTGATGTTCTTGATGAACTGTACCAAAATCCAGAAGTGATTTTTTGTAGTAAATAAAATAAAAAGAGGATAAAATTGCATTTTACTGACCTGAACATTTAAAACAAAAACACATATAAAACATTTTCTACCAAAATAGTTTAAATGACTACAAATTTAGACCAATAATTTTGTAGAATAAAATTTTAAAACCAAAATTTTAAACTTAAACTTTTACATATGCATTTAATATTTAAACTATTTTTTTATTATAATAAAATTATTATTATAAAATTAAAAGTGCAAAATAAACTTATTTTGCTTTATAAATAATTAATTATATGCATAATTTTATAAAAAAATAATTTAATAAAATAATAATTTGATAAAAAATAATTTCATAAAAAACTAATTTGATAATAAAATAAGTTAATAAAAAATTATTTCATAGAAAAATAATTTAATAAAAAAATAAGTTGATAAAAAAATAATTTCATAAAAAAATAGGTTAATAAAAAAATAATTGATTTAAAAAAATTTTTCATAAAAAATAATTTGTTAAAAAATAATTTCATAAAAAAATAGGTTGATAAAAAAATAATTTGATAAAAAAATAATTTGATAAAAAAATAATTTTATAAAAAATAAGTTGATAAAAAAATAATTTCATAAAAAAATAAGTAGATAAAAAAATAATTTGATAAACAAATATAGTCTCCACTCTATTTTTAAATACTAAAAAATTTTACCAATTTAATCTAAAAATATTTATTAAATATTTATTTAGGATTTACAAAATTTTGCCAAAATAAATTATACCTAGTTAAGAAATTATTTTTATTAAAAAATTATTGTTAAAATTTTGTTACAAAAATTGATTGGAAACCTAATTGAAAATTTCAATTAAAAAATCGTAAAAATGCGTTAACGTCTATGAATACTAATAAAATAAATATATTGCTACAACTTTTTAATCACTTTGGTAGATGGTAAGGTTCTTATATAAATAAACGAAAGTAAAAATCATTTTCAAGCAAATAAAACGTACAACAGTACAAATGCTGGATGTTATAAATCAATCAACGAAATTTTAATTGCTTAAAAAACAAACGGACGTAATTTCTAAATCTTGAGTTTTAGATACTGTTTCGTTTTTAATTGCTTGAATATGAAATATTGCGAAAGCGTTCAGAGGATTTTTCTTAAAAAATAGTAACCTTATTAAAATCAAGATTTATAAGAAAAAAAGTGAACGCTTTCTATAAGTAAAGAAGCAACTATAAAATCCTTAAAGGATATTTTAATTGTCCTTTACTTTAAAAGCAAGGGTAGATTTTTGGGGTCAGGGGAAGGAAAAAGGAGTTCCAGATGTCCAAAAAATTTATTTATCGCGATAAATATCAATAACCAAACTTTTAACCAACGTGATTGTGAATAAAATTAGTGCAATCCCAAACGTCATTCGGGAATTTTAATCCAAATCACACGATTGCAACAATCCAAACAAAAAAGTCGTTACGATTAACAAAGTTGTTGTCCGTTGGTAAATATTTAAATCCGACAGCAAAGGCTGTGCGCCGTATGTACTCATATGTAATTTATACTGCCCAAGTTTGCTGGTTTAAGTATTAAAATTCTTGAAATGCCTTGCGATCTTCAGATATGAAACGAGACGTATGTGTATACAATTTATTTTTAAGGCACGGTTTTTTAGAAATAGAAAATTATTTGTAAGATATGCGAGTACGAAGAGTTATTTTAACGAAGCAATAAATTGCATTGGGTTGACAATGTTTTATTTCAAAAGAAAGTTTAATAAATTGTTATTGTTCAAAAAATAGATATTGAACTTTTACTTTTGAACTAAAATAATTTTTGGATTTTTTTTTATTGAATTATTAAATGTTCGAAATTCTAAATTAATTGTAAATTATATCATTTGAAACTTTTTTTTAAAACAATTAATACAAAAAAATTATTTAAAAAAAAGTCATATAGACACAATTTTTATTATTTAAGGTTTTTCAAAAAGAATTTTTGGAAACTATAATGTATAAATAAAAAAATATACACGGTGTCCTATAATTTTAAACAATTTTTAATTTTGTATAGCTCTTTGAATTTATTGATTTCATGTAAAAATAAATAATAAAAAGACAATTAAATTTGCTTTATTTTTGAGTTTATTTATGCAATAAATATTTTTATTCAAAATTAAATTGTCTTTAAAATATGTAAAAATTTCGGAAACCGGACGTTCAATTGTTTTTCTGTTTTCTCCATTTTAATCACAAAAATAGGATTTCTCATTTTTTATCACTTTTAATGATTTCTGTAGCTACCTATTTGTGATGGTTTTTATAATGTCCTATAATTTTTAACGTTTTTTTATTTTTTATAATCCTTTGAATTTATTGATTTCAAGTAAAAATAAATAATAAAAACACAAGTAAATTTGCTTAATTTTTGTGTTTAGATTAGTTATGCAATAATACTTTTTTATACAAAATTAAATTGTCCTTAAAATATGAAAATATTTATGTTTGTTTAATCACAAAACATATGATTTTCCATTTTATATCATTTTTAATGGTTTCTGTATCTCTGATGGTTTTTATGATGTCCTATAATTTATAAAGATTTTTTATTTTTTATAATCCTTTGAATTTATTGATTTCAAGTAAAAATAAATAATAAAAAGACAAGTAAATTTGCTTTATTTTTGAGTTTAGAGTAGTTATGCAATAATACTTTTTTTTAAATTAAATTGTCTTCAAAACATGTAAAAATATTTATGTTTCACAAAACATGATTTCTCATGTTTTATTATTTTTAATGATTTCTGTATTGCAATACAGAAATCATTAGAAACATGTTTATGGTTTTTATGATGTCCTATAATTTTTAACAATTTTTAATTTTTTATGACTCTTTGAATTTAATAAATTTATTGATTTCAAGTAAAAATAAATAATAAAAAAAACAATTATATTTGCTTTATTTTTTAGTTTAAAGTAATTATGAAAAAATATTTTTTTATTCAAAATGAAATTGTCTTCAATATTTAGTATTATATTATTTAATTATTATATATAGTTATATTTAATATTTAATAAAAATATGTTTGTGAAAATTTTGTTTTTCTGTTTTCTCCATTTTAATCACAAAAATATGATTTCTCATTGTTTATCATTTTTAACGATTTCTGTATTTCTGATGGTTTTTATGATGTCCTATAATTTTTAACGATTTTTTATTTTTTATAATTCTTTGAATTCATTGATTTTAAGTAAAAATAAATAATAAAAAGACAAGTAAATTTGCTTTATTTTTAAGTTTAGTGTAGTTATTTAAAATTAAATTGTCATAAAAATATGAAAATATTTATGTAGACCTGTACCATTAAAAAAAAATATGTTTGTGAAAATTTCGTTCATTTTAATCACATTTTATATCATTTTTAATGATTTTTATTTCTATTTATTATATGATGTCCTACAATTTTTAACGATTTTTTATTTTTTATAACCCTTTGAATTTATTGATTTCGAGTACAAAAATACTCGTCTTTTTAAATACGATACGAAAACAAAACACAAACTTGAAAGCACGCACCGTATTGGTCGTCCCTCGAGCTAATTTCATTGCTTTCGCCCTCCAACCAGGAAGTGACGTAAACGAAATCACTGACAAAACTTGGTATGTGACACTTGAAGATCGCGGTGTTGCCTTTCAGCACGCTTTCGTCCATCACGTTGGCCGTGTAAGCCTGCGACACGACTGAAAAAGGACGAAAAAGGACAATTTAGTCTATCAGTCGTTTTTTGTTCGAAAATTTGTTAGTGATTAGTGATTATAGTTTAATATTTTGAAGGGGTGACGTTCTGATTTAAAAAATTTTATTTACCAAGCCGGTATTTATTGCACATGGAAAAAACAAATTTTATCTTTTGAAAAGGCCTAAACAGTTAATAATCGTCGTGATGATCGTACGGTGTGATTTGAATAAATAAACAGGGACATGTCATATGAAATGCGACATTCTATTAATAAACTTGATTTAGTCTTTACGATGTGTCGGAACAAGTCTCGTTTGATAGCTCAATTGACGGAGTTACACAAAAAAAAACAGGAAATGCAGGTTTAAAATCTCGTCTTAAAAACTATTTTTGGACAACACTGAAAAGGGAAGCGATCCAAACAAACAATGAATATGATTTTACTTTTTTTTACCGTGTAGGTACATTAAATTGAAAGTTTTTAACGGGTTTTCGGTCATTGTTAGTGCCAAAAATATCACAAAATGAACTTAACTACACATCGGGACTGCAGCCAAAACCGATATTTCTGTTGTAAACTTTTCCGACTGCAAAAAATCAAAATGAATTTCTGCTTTAGTTTCCTGAATGTTGGAAAGTTTACTAGTTAAGTTGCCAATCGCAAGCTAATTTATTAGTTACGTTAAAAGTAGTTTTCTACTTTGCAGGGCTGGAGTTAGTTATCCTACTGAACATCTGTGAAATTGGAGTTTTTTTAATTGTATATACAGGATGAGTCATTTAACTTAAATAAAAATTAAATGATTCGATGGGGGAATTCGACTAAAAATAGGTAGATTTTGTCTAAAACATTTTTTTATATTTCTAATAGATAGCGCTGTAATCAATTTTGTTCGATTTTTCTTCTGTATACGATTCTGCATTAATTTTTCTATAAAAATATCACTTTATTTGGTAATAATTATCTTATTAAATTAAATCTGATTGGTTTAAGTACCCACGATTTTCCTTTGGTTTAAGTTTTATACATTATTTCATTCGGTGATAATTATCAATTGCGCACCATGGTCACTTTTTACCTGCCAGCATTAAATCCTTTAATTTAAAGGATTATTGTACTATTTTTAATAAAAATACCTCATTAAGGTAAAAAAAAACACCATTATTTTGTCAATTAATTAATTTAATCCTAATTGAGGTATACAAAATGGT